AATTGACCTTGCTATTGCTGAAATATGTGCTGAGAAGTAAAGTTTGCCATAGCCAGACAGAATGACCTGTTGATGACACCAGAATAGCACAGTCCCATCTGGATCTAGAACAAAGATGACAATCTGCTACATCTGCTCCAAAATCTTCAGGGAGGGGTGGTCTGTGATTTCCACTTATTCTAGTGGTGATTTATTTTCCTGGTTGGGAAGCAATGCCATAGTGAGAGGGGAAAGGAGGTTCATTTAGTATACTAAGCAGTTTCATGATTATAAAACACATTGTGAAGCTTTCTATGCTAGTGAGATTTTATATTGCACAGAAGAACCTTATTTTTTATACTTTGAATAGTGTGAGGAGGGGTTGAGGATGGTGGATGTGGGTACATTGTTTGACCAAGATGCCCTGAGTTCCATCCCTAGTACTGGAAAAAGTAAACCTGAAGATTATCCTTAGGATGGATACCACCACATCCCCCGACCTTCAGCAACCCCGACCTTCAGCACGCCCCGACCTTCAGCACACCCTGACCTTCAGCATACCTACAGTGAGAACCAACTGCACATTGGCCTCTGCAGTAGACTCAACACTTTGCCTGCTCTCCAGTTTTAAAGTATTCCAGACAATTAAAATGTAGCACTGCATTGTTTCCACCGACTTACCAGACTCTTCGAATAAAAGGAGTACCAGGTATTCGGACTCTATTCTTTCCCCATTCCCAGCTGTCTCAGTTTAAATAAGCTTCCATTATCTATGTGAGTGCCAGTATCAGCCTATGAAAAACTAACTTACTCCAGTGCCTCAGATTTTGTAAATTTCTCCAGCAATAACAAAATTCAAGCTCGGATTTTACTACTGAAGGTAAGTTGTTATCATGGAGTTCCTATCAAAATGAATAATTTCCATGTCATGGCTACACATAGAATCACTACCTAAAGAACACTGGTTTTAGCAATTAAACATTTTGTAAGTTTCATATACATATATAGTAAGGCATATAAACATGTATGTGGAAAATAAACCTGGTTCTGTGGCATTCTTTGTTCATTGAGGAAATCATATTCCTCTAGGAAATGGCTCATTTCCGTATGCTTTGCCTTTCTTCTTCCATTGGATACCCAGAAACCCTGAAAAAGCCTTTATCTTATTTTGCAAAGTGTGGGGTAATGGGAAAGACCAGCTTCATCATATCTAGGACAAAAGATCAAAGGCAAGTTCTAGAATGATTGCCCTTTTAGATTACTGTCTCAGGATATGCTGACCTGCACACCAACTTCAGTCACTTGTGTCCATCTTATAAGGCACTTTCCTGAGGGCAAATGCTGAAGATGTTCAGGACCTGGAATTGTGGATCAAATTAAATATGTACAGCATGCTACCTGTTTGTTTTCAAATATTTGACATGCCAGCAATCGCCTCCTACCAACTCATAGCCATATAATTCTGCAATAGTCACCTTGAGGTTACCAGGAGCCTTCTCTTAGAAATTTCCCCTTGTTTTTCTTATTTTTGTTAGTTTCACAATGCATACAATATATTGTAATTATATTCGCCCCCAATTGCCTTCTTATTGCACATAATGCTCTAATGTAGTAAAATATAAAAATCATTGAACAATACCTGAAGAAAAGATTTAGCAAATCTTTAAAACAGAATCTTATTCTGTACTTGCCAAACAGGATTCTTAGCATTGCTCCAACATGAATTTATTGATGATAATAGTAAGCATTGCTCAGATTTTTCCAATCTGACACAAATAAGCAGAAATATATTTACTTTTGCACATCTCTCTTGTTTGTGGATCCTAGATCCAGATCTTTCAACATGAGTATATAACCCAGAGTAGCCTCAGAAACCAGGGAATTAGAAAAGGTCTGGGGTCAGGAAGAGGAGTTCATCTTTCTCAGGGAAGAGGCCCTTGGAAGGTTATCCAATCCCAAATGGTCAGCCCTAAACATATATACATAAGAGCAACTCTAAATGGACTCAGCAGGTTGTATTTTTTTATGTGTGTGTTTGTATGTGTGCGTGTGTGTGTGTGTGTGTGTGTGTGTGTGTGTGCGCGCGTGCGTGCATACGTGCGTGTATGCACACGCTCCAAATAATGTTAAACGACTCAACAGGCTATATTTGTATATACATATATGTGTGTGTGTTGTGTGCATGCAAGTGTGTGTGTATGTGTGTGTATATGTGTATGTGTGTCAATAATAAAAGATGAAAAGGTCGTGAAGTTGAGAGTGGTAGGGAACTTAGAAATTGGAAGGAGGAGAGTCTTGGGGTGGAGAAAATGTAAATATAGTACTCATGCATAAAAATTTCAGGAATAATAAGAAAAAACAAATATAGAAAATAATTGCCTTTGTTTCGAATTGGCCTAGCCTCCTTCCTGCTCTTGCTGCCCCTGTTCCCTGCCCCCCTTCCCTAGAACCTAACTGCAGGAGAAGAATCCAGTTATCCTGAGGTCTCCAGGTGACTTTTATTCAGGAGGGGAAGAAAGGAACCTGTGGGATAGCCAAGAGCCACCTTTTCTAAGCAAATCTGTTTGCTGTACCTGAAAGCTGAGGTAATATACCTTTGGGTAAGTCTGTCTAGCTCTTGTAGCTGCAAATAAGTGATCCTGGGCCTATATAGTCTGTGGATGGCACGTACCCTCTGCCTTCAGTGATGGGTTTTTCTTTGTGATGCTTCTCTTCTTGGCCACCGCTTTTGATGATACCACCTTTCTAGTCCAGGAAAGCCTGCAGCATCAGGATCAACATAGTATTCTTCTCCTGGATCTCTCTCTCTCTAACTATCTCTGCTATACTCTGTGTAGCAAAGAACTGTGTATCCTCATTCCTTCCTCCCCATACTGTATGGTCACTACTGTTTTCACCCCGGTTTCTTGTGTCTTCCCTACGAGACCCTTGAAGGTTCTCAAACACTATCTCATTCTGGAAAGATCCATTGGACGATACTGACAGCCGCAGCAGATGTGATCACTGGGGAGCATGGTCTAGATTCCTGATATGCCTGACCCCAGTAGTTTCCGCTACCAGCTGAGGCTCACATACACTTCTCTCACTGTCTTAACTCCAGTTTGCACTTGTTTGCAGTACCCCTTTGTGGTTATAGGAAGAAGGACATTGCAGGGGCCCCACCTCCCTTGTCCCCCCTTCGGACCTATTATCCAGTGCCAAGTTTTAGCTGAGAATCCACTACAACCCAGTTGTGGTCAGCTTCCTATGGCAGGTCAGGGCACTCATCTGCCCTCCCCGCCTCTGCTGTAGGCTGTTTCTTTTCTAGAGAGGACTGTTGGCAGCCAACTGCCTTTTTTCATCTGCTATACTCCTCCCCAAGCCCCGTATAATGATTCCATGTCTTCCTCTGTCTGCTGGCTGCTTCTGGGTAGGTGTCTAGCTTTGTGTTCCATGTATTGCTCTTAGGCCCACATCATGGCTGCCACTACCAGTGTCATCCTCATTGCCTCACCCTCTGGACATTTCCATCCTTCAGGACCAAGTGGGCTTGGTGCCCAGCAGGCTGAATCACTGACATCCGTGTCCCAGGTGTGGTGGTGCCGGGCTTCTACAATGCCACTGAGGAGTGAAGAGGGGGTACATACTGACTCAAAGGTTGTAAGTGGTGGTTCTGGGCAGATTGCTCAGAAAGCAGTGGCCATGCTGCACCGTAGCAGCATGCTGCACCATAGCAGCCAACCACACCATAGCGGCCGTGAGAATGAAAAGAAGGAAGGAAAGGAATGAAAAAAGAGAAAGAGTAAAAACTGGAGACCCCGGGCCTCCAGCTGAGGGTATGCTGGGGGCTGGCCATGGCCAAACCGTCCCAGGCACAGGCTTAGCAAAGGGGACAAGCCGGGAATGAATGCCAGCAAAGGGACCCCAGGCCCTGAAGGCCCACTGTTGGGGGAAGTCCCCCACAACCCTCGAAATACCGGGAGCTTCTGGGATCTCACCAGTCAATTCCAGGGTTAAAAGAGTCGGTTAAGCTGGCCGGAAGGGGACACTCACGATTAGGAGCTGGTGTTGTTTGTAGGAGCCCGCCCAGGCAGATGGACATGTGGGTCCTTGTAGGGGAGGTCCTCGGTTCTGATCGTGCCCCAGGAGGGAGGTCAGAGACCTGGGCGGCACCTGAAGCCGGAGCTCCTGCCACGGGTGGAAATCTGGGGCGGGCGAATATCTGAGTCACAGCACCAAATAATATTCTTTAAAAAATGCTGGTGTGCCGCCTGAGTGACCTGCCCAAGATCCCCGGGCAGCGGGTTCACAGAGCAGCCACGAGTCAGGCAGAGATGGCTGCCAGAGTGGTGCAGATTCCCCATGGTGAGTGGCAGAGCGGTGGCTCATCCCGGACAGGCTGGTGCTGGCATGCGGCCAGGAGAGTCACCCAAGCAGGCGGGTGAGCAGGCGGCGGATAAAAGACTTACAAGACATAGTAAATGGACATAAAGCTGAACATAAAGCTGAACATTTATTACTTAAAGGAGAGAGAGAGAGACAGACAGAGACACAGAGAAAGAGAGAGGCAGTGGCACATGTGCACACGCCAAGAGAGAGAACAGAAAGAGGCCAAGATGGGGTGATGAGAGGTCAGAAGTCGCTGGGAGTGGGCGTGGCTTGTCCCTTAAAGAGACCAGAGACCAAAAGGAATAACAGTGATAATGGATTAAACGTCTAAAAGTGTAAGCAAGCCCCCAGTTAAATGTTTTCTTTGATAAGAGCTGCCTTGGTAATGGTGTCTTTTCATAGCAATAGAACAGCGACTAAGACAATCCCTCTTTGCTCTGCTTGGGAGACTGTGGTCACTGTGTTGACCTCAGGTTGGAGCTTCTCTTCTAGTCAGCTTTCTGCCTTAAATTGAATAATTTTTGTTTACTATTTTCTGTGAGGAAGAAAAGAGGACACATGAATCAATTGCTCAGAGAATTCTGCTGTTTATTTCTCAAATATATATATATATATATATATATATATATATATATATATATGAGATAATGATATTATTGCCAATTTGGGTGGCCAGCGTGTGGCTTGTAATAGAAACTCTTATCCAAAAGAGGCTCCTGAAGAACGGTGACACTCTGGGTTTCCTTCAGAATCTTCAGGGAGGAGAGGTTCTCTTTAAGGGGAATGATGCTTTTGCGCATGATAGCCTTTTGATTTTTCTTAAATTTGGCTCTCTGATTGCTGAACCAAACCTGAAATCAGAGCAACAAAAGTATTGGTTTAGCAAGTTAGTCACTGATGTTCGGACAAGAAAACACATCATGCATCTTCATGCATTACTGAAATTTTCTTCTTTACAGGAATCTAGTTTAGAATGAGTTCTATCCTTTACAGTGCTGCAAGTATTGTCCAAGGTCAAGGATGTGCCTATATCTTGTGAGTGCCTGGTTTCCACCCTATCACTACCATATCCAACAACAAACATGTATTCTAGCTTCATTTCTGTGGCTGGGATAAAACACCCTGACAAAAAAGCAACTTATGGAAGAAGGGTTTCTTTGACTTACAGTTCCAGGCTGCAGCCCATCATTAAGGGGAAGTGAAAGAGAAACTTCACTGCACAAAGCATCACTGCGTGGTTAAGAGCACAAAGAGAATAAATATATGGACCCTCGCATGCTTGTGACATTTTAGCTAACTTCCTCTACTCTTATACAATCCAGTGTCACAAACTAAGGAACAGTGCTGTCCCCAGTGGGCTGGGTCTTTTTGACAGTAACTAACAATCAAGACAACCCCTACAGACATCCCACAGGCTAACCCAATATACATAACACCTCACTAAGACTCTCTTTCCAGGCCAAATGTCACAATCTACTCCTTGTCAACTTGACACGTGAACACATTACATTGCTCATCCCCAAAGTCTCAGGTTAATATCATAATGCAAAATACAGCACAGATTTAAAAGTACCACAGTTTTAAAATTTCCAGTGCTTTAAAGTCCATACATCTCAACTGTGAGCTCCTGTGAAATTGAAGAAAAACAACAAGTTACCTACTTAAACATTCTTAGTCCAAAAGGAAGAACTGGGTCATACCAAATGAACAGTCACATGTCAGCACAACAAAAATACATTAGTGTAAACACTAATCCTTTAGCTAAATGTTCAACATTGTGGACTCACAATATTCTGGGCTCCAAAGGGCATGGATAGCCCCAGTTTTTCAGCTCTGACACCCACAGCATAGTTATTAATTCCTTCCTTTAACTAAGTGCACATGCTTGTTCTTTATTTACTTAGTAGACCTGTGCCCTCTTGCTACCCTGTCTCTCCCTGTATCCATTTGAACATTTACAAGATCACTTGGAGTTCTAGCATGACTACAAAGAAGTACTCTCTGAAGGATAATGGTATCATAAGGAGTTGAATATTAATTTTAGTACATACCAATGTGGTATTATTGATATATGTATATATCTATATCTATATATCCTTAAAAGCTACATGTAAACATATACACAATTACTTTTGTATGGAGAATAGAGGAATCAGATTGTTTTGCTTTCCTTTCCACTTAGGAAATTATGTTTTGTTTTGTTTTTCAGTAATGGAAAAGAAACACTTTGTGGAGTTTCCCCTCCATATAGATCTTTTCCAGTTTCAATCCCTTAGTTCAAAGCTCATTTTCCAGCTTAAAACAGGTAAGAAAAAATAGCAACTTCACAATGTTTAGGACAAGACTGTTCATGTTTCCAAACAGGTTTGGGATGGAGTGTCTGGTTATGTTTCTATGCTAAACGGACTGACCATCACATTGAATTCCTCCACATTGATGATCTCTGCAAGCTCTTTCCTGTGGAGAGAAAAACATCAAGCTTTAACATTTGGCATTAGGGGTAAAATTAAGCATATTCTGTATGTCTGTCTATGTTTTAAATTTTTAAAATTTTTATCTTACATGTGTGTCTGCAGTTATGTCCTTGCACCACTTGCAAGCCTGGTGCGCATGGAGGCCAGAAAAGGCCATCAGAGCCCCTTGAACGGGAGTTAAAGGTATTTGTGAGCCACACTGTGGCTGCTGGGGATTGAGCTCAGGTTCTTTGGAAGAGCAGCCAGTGCTCTTAACTACCGAGCCATCTCTCCAGTTGGTTCTGCACATGTTTTAAAGTTTGCTATATCCATTTATATCCCCCAGGTATACATTTAGCAATTCTTAGAAAGAGTATAGTTCAGAGATGGGTTCACTTTCTTACAAAATTTAAAATTTAATATCTCTACAACCTGAAAAAATGGTTACTGCTCTCAGTAATAAATAATAATGTCTAAATCTAAGTCTACAATATATACCACACATTTTTGATGGTACTGAGGATTGAACATAGGGTCTTAGACATGCTAGGTAGGGGCTGTATCCTCAGTCCTTTGTATATTCTGAGACTGTGTCTCATTAAGGTCCATAGCCAGAATTGAGATGTTTTCTCAAGCCAGGCTGACCTGGAACTTGCACCCTTCTACAGGCTTCCATGCATCTGAGTGACTAGAGGGCTGTACTGCCAGCCTCAGCTAGAGGCACAGGCTTTCTATAGGTGTGCTGCAACAATGCAGATGTGCGAAAGCATTTCGTTCTCTTGAATATGATTTTTATAAAATATCACATACAAATGCAGGATCCTGATACAGGCAATACATATAAAACACATATAATTGGAAATAATTAGCAAAACTAGAGCCTTCTGTGTATAAAATAATCAAAATAAAAAGGCAATAATTCAACCAGACAAATTATTTCCAAATGAGCAAGCAATACCTGTGTCCTCCCCACTCAATAACTGAAGAGTTACGGAGATGTTTGACAAAGGAAGATAGGCTTCATAGCCTTAAGCACAAGAAAAGTTGTTCAACGTCACTCATAAGTTTAAGAAACTGTAAATAAGACCAGTGCTGTTGCCTCCCAGTCAGAAGGGTGACTATTGACAACATACAGAAAATACCAAGGTTTAGTGAGACCCTAGGAACATTGGAGACACCATACTCTTTGAGATTCAGTATCAAATTTTGTGACCATGTAGGAAGACAGATGGTTCTTTTAAATGATGGACATAGAATTATTGAACCCAACAATTCCGATTCTGAGTATATCTTCCAAAAGATTGAAAACCAGAGGTTAAAAAGGATTTTTTTCAGGCTAGTGAGATGGCTGAATTACTGCCAAACCTAACTACCCGAGTTTGATCCCTACGACACACATTGTGGGAGAGATCCTGGCTCTCTCAATTCATTCTCCAACTGCCATTCACACTGCCCAATTATGGGCAGGTACACAAAATAAATAATTTAATTATCCTATCTAATTATGCATAGCAACATAACCAGATCTCCTTATGCAGAGGGCAATAAAAGAAAACACACAACATCTATGAAAAGGTGCCTTTGGAATATTATTTAGCCTTGAGAAAGCAGAAAGATAAGCCTGGACATTAGACTAAGTGAAACAAAGTAGTCTGAAAAGGTCAGATTATGGGTCAGACATCTCTTTAAGTCTTTCCGTATGTGAAGTGCCCAAATAAGTCAGATTCAGAGAACAAAAATTTACAATAGTGGTAGTTGGGGACCAGGGGACCAGAAATGGCAGTTATTTAAGGGGCACAGGATTTCAGTTTGGCAACACTGAATTCCCAGAACAACTTAAAAATACTTCATGATACTGAATTCTGAATTACAAACATTGTTTAGACCAGGAGTGTTATTGTTTTGTGTTTTGGGACTATTCTAAAATTAAAACAAACAAAGCAAGTGATCGATAGCTGCTTTATAAACTTGGTTTACCACAAAACCACAAGAAAACTTTGACTTTGGTCCCCACAAGAAATCATGCCCATTCCCACCACAACAGTAATCAAAGGTTCTGCCCTGTCGGGATCGGTAGAGAAAAAACCAAGACCAGCGGGTACAAATGAAAGACGGGTATAACTGAGAGTCGCCGCGGAGGCCGGGGCAAGGGATCAACAGTTTAAAACTTGGCTGGGCTAAAGTATAGTTAAGGACAGCCTTGGCCGCTCAAGTTCTGTCCCAGGGAAATAGGGGTTTTAAAAGTTAGTAGCTTAGTCGTACAGAACTTGTCTGTGACTTTAGGTTTAGCCGTTTGGATACAGTTAAAATAACGGAGAGGCCAGGAAAAGAGGAACGGAGCCTAAAGCCCTGGAAGATAGAATGGCTGTTAAGCCACATACATACCTTTTGACTGCGTCAGGATACTGAGTTTCTTTGAAAACTCTATCTAATTCAATTATTTGTTCAGGAGTGAACTTGTACTGCTTTCCGAAATATTTACTTGGCTTCTTAAAAACCGGGTCTTGCCCTCCTTGTACAGGCTTACAGGACTTCCCATGGGTGCCATCCTTATCTTCACAGTTGTAGTTGTGGTCAATCACAGCATTTAGGTAGCCTAGCTCCACGATGCCTTCAGTGTGGCTAGCACTTGCTGCCTCAGCCTTCACTTTCTGGAGTTCAGTTACTTCTTCCTCATAGAAGCCTACATGGTAATAGTCTTGATCGAAATAGTATTTCTTACATGCCATGGCCGGAGGTCGGCAGAAAGTCCGAAGGTGCAAGACCTCGGAGTCTGCAGAGGCTTCACCCCTCCGAAAGTGTCTTGCAGTCGTTTTTTGAATACTCCAGGTAGTGCCGTGCTGGACAATTCAACGTAAGAATGCTCCATCTCTATGATGCCCATTGGCTCTCGGCTAACGGCTGTGGGTGGGGCTTTCTTTGGCGGGGGGTGGGGGAGGAAGAGGTGTGGCAAACTGTAGCTTTTGACAGAATGGTGCCTTTTATGGCACATTTAAGTCACAACTTCGGTCCTAAACTGAATAGTTTCTTGGCCCCTAGATCTGACATCAAGGGGGGGAAAGCTTGATTTGTAAGCAGACTTGCTACTGAGTCCTGCTGTCCCCATGATCACCTTGAGAAATCTAACTTTACTAAAAATTGTATTATTGAATATGTTTATATATACATATATATTTGTGTGTGTGTATGTATGTATGTATGTATGTATGTATGTTTATATATGTTTTCTTGGTACTGGGTTAGAATCCAGTAACTAGCACATGCTCAGCAAACTCTCTACTACTGAGCTGCACTCCCAACTCCCACAAATCTTGAACTATAGAACCCTTTAGACTCATGTTAAAGAAACACACATAATAGAGGAGCTTGTATCTAGTCAATTTCAAAGACATCACTCTGCTCTTGGAAACACTCACCTAGTATGACTGAAGGAACTTGTGCTTGAATTCTAACACTGCAAAAAAAGTATAACTCTATAAAAATATTTTTTTTTTTGTTTTTGGGGTAGAAAAACCTAAGCCAGAGGCCTCTCCTGCCAAGGAAGCAGATAGGCTGAACTCAACTTCTGTTCTTGCTTCTCCAGATACAACCCCTCCCAGGTCTCATCTCCACTTCTGTAGCAGGAAACCTGCTGTGGTCTCTCTGTCCTCTCTGACCCCATGCCCAGTGGATCACACAGATCCTCTCCTTCAACCTTCCTTCCTCCAACTCATCCCATTATCCCAGCAACACCAGTAGACATACCCTGGGAACATACCAGCTGAGGAGACCAGGGAAACAAGTCTGTAAAAATTTTGCTACCAGGTCACACACAACCATCATACTCTCCTGTAGAAGGAACAGTAGGCTGCGTCCTGCCACTTGCCCAGCTAGCTTTATCCAAAATAATTACACGGAAACTATATTCTTTTAAACACTGACTGGCCCATTATCTGTAGCCTCTTATTGGCTTACTCTCATATCTTGATTAACCCATTTTTATTAATGTGTGTAGCACCACGAGGTGGTGGCTTACCAGGAAGGATCTTAACCTGCGTTCATCTTGGAGAGGAAAGCTAGAGCATCTGCCTCACTGCGCTCTTCCTCTCAGCATCCTGTTCTGTCTTCCCTGCCTACCTATGTTCTGACCTATCAAAGGGCCAAGGCCGTCTCTTTATTAACCAATGAAAATAACACATAGACAGAAGGCCCACCTACATCACTCTCCTACAATCCAGATAGGAAACAGAAACCAAGGAACAAAGCACCCACCTAACAAAGACAAAACCAGTTATCAGCATGTAGAACTGTAATCATCCCAATTCCAGGTTGATGTGGGATTCCCCTCTTTATGCTGTGAGTAACATTAATTAATAAAGAAGCTGCTTTGGGGCGATTGCAGCACAGAATAGGGCAAGGCAGGAATTCCAAGCAGATAGAGGGGAAGAAAGAAGGCAGAGTTAGAGGGAGAGAAAGAAGGCAGAGTCAAGAGAGAAGCCATGTAGTGGCCTCAGGAGACAGATGCTGGACATCAAACAGAACTTTACCAGTAGACCACAACCACATGGCAATACACAGACTAATATAAATGGATTAATTTAAGATATAAGAGCTAGACAGTAAGAAGTGTCAGCTAATAGCCCAAGCAGTGCTGTAATAATACAGTTTCTGTGTGATTACTTCAGGTCTAGGCGTCCAAGAAATGAACGAGCAGCCTCTATCTACACAAGGTGCCTTAGACAACAGTGTAAAACACAGTAATAGCCAGGACAATAGGTCTTCATTGGAACCCAGCAACCCTACCCCAGTAGGCCCTTAATATTCCAACATGGCTGAAGTCCAGTGTTAATAGTTTCTCAAATATTAAAGGCATTTTCTTCACTAGCTGTCAGTTCCTGCAACCTGGAGACACACAGTTTGAGCACATAGTACAGTACTTCAGAATACACCAAAGTAACGAACCTCCTACCCTGTTTGCATGCTGCAGATCTTCCTCTTACATTTTATTTTTCAGATGTTTAAAAGATAATTGCTGCGCAGAATGGGCTCCTTTTAATAGAAACTGTATTTATAAGCCATATAATTATGTATGTCTGATGTCCATGCCCCATTCTCTATGCAGGCTTTGTCACCTCGAGCTAGGCCTGGGAGTATGTGGTGGTGTTGTGGGATGGCAGGGTTCTGAGACCCTTACAAGGCTGGTCTGGTTGGCAAAATGAGTTACTAAAGTTAGTTCTGGAAGTGTGAAGATGGTATGTGAGGGTGGGGGTCTTGCTCACTCACTAGGCTGTGCTGGCCCAAGATACTTGACCCCCCCCACCTAGGTCTGGGACTGTGAGAGTGGTGGTATAGGAGGGTAGTGATCTGGGTCACTCACAAGGCAGGGGTTGTGTTCAGGCTGATTGACCCTAGCGAGGCCTTCAAAGATAAAATTGACCCAAGAGTCAAAGGTCGAGGTCACTCACCAGACTAGACTGGTGCACAGACGGTATGACATGAACAAAACTGGGGGCATGAGTCTGGCTATGAAGACAAGTTATTAGGAACTCAGCAGGCTTTGTGATAACAGCTAGGCCCATGAGTATGGGAATGGTGTGGGAGACCATGGTGCCGAACACTCAGCATCCTGGGTTGTTGCCCAGTCTGGATGATTAGCAGTAGAGACGGCACCATAGGGCAAGGTTCTGGGAGACTGACCACCCTGTGCTAGTCAGAGATATTCTTCACACAAACTAGGCCTCAAACAGGGGGTGTGAGGACGGCACTAGAGCAGAAGTCTTGGTCACTGAACAGGGAGGCCTGGTACTTAGGCTGTGTGATCCAATATTGCCATGGGACTGTGGGAAGGGGAAGGCAGGTGACATCATGGGCAATCTGTGTTTGGCTGTCAAGAAAGCTGACACAGTTATGCCTGGGACTTTGAGTATTGTCAGGGAAAGGGGACTCTTGAGAACTGGCTAAGGCAGGGTTAGTGACCAAGCCACTTCACCTCACTCACAGGCTTAGCTTCTGTGCAGAAGTTTTGAGCCCAGTTAGGCCTGAGAGTGTGGTTATGATGGAAAAGGTTAGGATTTGGGGGTCACTCACTTCGTTGTGGTACACAACCAGCCCATGCTTGTAACTTCATTCCCATTGTGAGCACGTGCAAAAAAGCAAGGAGCTGGGTTACAAGGAGTCTTGGCTGGTCTGGGACCTGCTGGAATGGGACTCTGCCTGGAGTTGTCAGGATGGTGCAGGAGGGCAGGGTCTTTATCGCTCTCCAAGAGGGGCCTGAGAACGTGGTGATGTCCCAGTAGTTGACAGATCCCAGCCTCTCACCAGGATGTATGTATAAAGCTAGACTTGGAAGTATTAGTAGAACACCTGTGGATTCGAACTCTTACGAGGAGGTCTGGGACACATTCTGATTGAACACAGATATTCTAGGGGCTTGGAAGGTAACTTAGCAGGCAAGGGTCTTGGTAACTCACCAAGTTGGGCTGCTGTGCAAACTCTGTGAAGCCAACTATGCCAATCAGTCTAGAAGTGTTTTCAGAGTTGCGCTGGCTAGTTTTATTCAACTTGACACAAGGTAAAGCCATCTGAGAGAAGGAAACCTCAATGAAAGAAATGCCTCCACACAAAATCAGGTCGTAGATTGTAGGCAGGCCTGGAAGGCATTTTCTTAATTAGTGATTGATGGGGGTGGGCTCAACCTTTTGTGAGTGGTGCCATCCTTGGGTTGATGGTACTGGATTCTATAAGAAAACAGGATGAGCAAGCCATAAGAAGAAAGCCAGTAACCAACACCCCTCTGTGGCCTCTGCATCAGCTCCTGCCTCCAGGTTTCTGTCTTGTTTGAGTTCCTGTCCTGACTTCCTTCGATGATGAACAAAAATGATGATGTTTAAGCCAAATAAACCCTTTCCGCCACAACCTGCCTCTTGGTCATGTTTCATTGCATCAATAGAAACTCTAAGACAAGAGGACAGAGACTTCACCAGTCTGGTCTGATACCCATGTATCTTGAACCTAGATGGGTTTGGGCGTTAATAGTATAAATGAGCAAGGTTTGCACGTACTCACAAGGCTAAGAGGGCAGGTAAGCTCTGTGTGTTAAACTAGGCTGGGGACTGTGAGGATGCATATAAAGGTAGGAACTTCATCATTTACTAGTCTGGGCTTGTGTCCAGGCTGCTTGAGTCCGGGTGGGCCTGGTAAGGTGAGGATAGCACAAGAGGGCAAGAGTCTGGTTCACTTACACAGCTGTATTGAGTACATGTAGGCAGAATTTTTTGTGGGGATCACCAGGCAGCTCCCAAATTACCACAGGGATTTAATAATTGTAAATACTCGACCGGTAGCTTAGGCTTGCTACTAGCTAGCTCTTACAACTTAAATTACTCCATATTTTTATCTATGTTCTGCAATGTGGCTCAATATCTTATCTCAGTATGGCATGTATATCGCTTGCTTCCTCTGCATCTTGCTCAAGACTCCTCAGACTCTGCCCTTCTTTCCAGTGTCCTCCTAGTCTGTCTCTCCCACCCAGTCTCTTCCTGCCAAGCTTTAAGCCAGTCAGTTTTTTATTAATAATGAGAGCAACACATCTTTACATTGAGTGAAAGGATTATTCTACGGCAAGTACAAGCTGAGCTATGTGAGCCAAATATTGGTGTGGGAACTTGATGAGGGTTAAGGCAGGTGACTTTGGGGACATTATTACACTTGACTGGTGGGCTAGCTGCTGTGATTGTTAGTGTGACTGACACTAACAATTGTGTCAGTCACAGTCTTGATCAGTGTGGGCAGCTTGAC